GTAGGGCTGCTAACCACAAGGTCAGCAGTTAGAAACCAGCGATGGCTCTGTGAGAGAAAGATGAGGCTTTCTACTCCAGAAAAGATGTATGGTCTCAGAAATCCACAAGGATAGTATCAATCTGTCCTGCACAGTCTCTATGAGTGGAAATCCAATAAATGGCAGTAAATGAATTAATAAAATCAATATAGCTGAATGGTGGCTTGATATAAATTAGCACTAAATTTCCCTGAGTTAAAAAAATTGACATTTGTGGTGGTGTTGATGGGGCATGACTCAAAATGAAAAGAAACAGTTGCAAAGATCTATTAACAATTGGAACATGGAATGCATAAAATGTGAATCTAGGATAATGGAAGTCACCAAAAATGAAATGGAACCCATAAAAAATCTATTTCCCAAGCATTACTGAGTTAAAATGCACTGCTGTTGCTCATTTTGAATGAGACAATCATATGATTTACTATGCTATAAATGAAAAATTCAAGAAGTTGTGTTGCATTCATTGTCAAAGAACATTTCAAGGTCTATCTTGAAGTAGAATGCTGTCTGCGATAACATCTATACAAATACAAGGAAATGAAGTTAATACAACTATTATTCAAATTTACCCAACAACTAAAGCCAGTGAGGAGCCCTAGTGATGTAGTTGCTAGGAATTGGGCTGCAAACAGCAAGGTCCAGAGTTCAAAACCACCAGGTGGCCCAAGGGAGAAAGACTGGGTTTCCTACTCCCATAAAGAATCACAGTCTGGGAAACACACGGGGGCAGTTCTACCTGCCATATAAGGTTGCTCTGAGTCAGCATTGACTAGATGGTAGCTAGAGAAAGCCAGTGGAGAAAAAATGAATAATTCTCTCAACTTCTTCAGGCTAAAATTGATTCAACATGCAATCCAGATCCATTGATAATTACTAGCGATTGAAATGCTAATGTTGGACACAAAGAGAATGGTACAGTCTTTAGAACATGTGGCATGGATTATAGAAATGAGCTAGAGATCACATGATGGAATTTTGAAAGACCAAGGACTTCTTTAATGCAAACCCTTTGAGAACAGCTGAAGAATAGATTTGACTCATTGAACACCAGGACAGAAGACCTGACAAACTGTGGGATAGCATTAAGAATGTCACACATGAACAAAGCAAAAGATCATTAGAACCATAAGAAAAAATAAAGGATCAAAATAGATGTCAGGAGAAGCTCTGCGACTCTGCAGACTTCACTGGTTCTGAAAAAGAAATGATGAAGTAAAAGAGCTGAACAAAACATTTCAGAAGACTGCTCAGAAAGACTAAGAATTAAAATGTGCAAATGCCTGGAATAAGAAATCCCCCCAAAAGGAAGAACACACTCAACATGTATCAAACAGGAGACAAAATTTCAAGCCCGGAGTTCTAATTTTGAAATATTATATGTGCAAAATATTGAAAGAAGCATCAAAAGAAGATGAAAGGAATATACAGAATCACTGTACCAAGAGGAGATGGTTGACATTCAACCATTTCAAGAGTACAATCAGATCAAGAACCAAGAGTACTGAAGGAACAACTCCATGAGGGACTGGTTCTATTAGCAAAAACCAAGGTTCCAGGAATTGACAAAATACCAATTGAAATGTTTCAACACGCTGATGAGGCACTGGAAATACTCACCTGCACCAAGAAAAGTGAAGAGAGTTTCCTGGCCAACATACTGGAAAAGATTCATATTTGTACTCATTCCAAAGAAAGGTTATCCATATTATTAACATTAGATACAAGTAAGATTTTGCTGAAAATCATTCTAAAACCATGTCAGTAGTCCATTGACAAGGAGCTTCCAGAAATTCAGGCTAGACTCAGAAGAGGCCATAGAAGAGGGATGTCCTTACTGATGTCAGATGGACCTTGGCTGAAAGTAAAGAATATTTACCCAACAAGATAAAAAAAATGCTTTATTGACTGTGCAAAGACATTCAACTGTGTCGATCATAAGGAACTATGATTGAGAAGATGGAAACTCCAGAATACTTTGTTGTACCCCTGCTGAACCTGCACATGACCAAGAGGCAGTCATTTGAACAGAAGAGGAGTACACTGGGTGTTTTAATATCAGGAAAGATACACTTCAGGGTCGTATTAAGTCATTATACCTGTTCAATATGGATGCTGAGCCCAAAATCCAAGAAGCTGGACTATTTGAAGATGAACTCAGAAACAAAATTGAAAGAAGGCTTATTAACAACCTATGATATGCAGATAACACAATCTTTTATCGGAGAGCGTGGAGGACATGATACACTTGCTGATGAAGATCAAGGACTATTGTCTTCAATGTGCACTGCTACTCAATGTAAAGACAAAAATCCTCACAAGACTAATAGATACCATCAAGATAAATAGAGAAAAAAATGGCAGTAGTCAAAAATTTCATCTTGCTCGAACACACAATCAAGGGTTATGGAGGCACCACTGAAGACATCAAACAATGGATTGCATTGGGCAAGTTGGACAAGACCCCTTCATAGTATAGAGGACCAAGGTTGTCTTTTTGAGGGCTAAGGCTGTCCGCCCCAAGCCATGGTAGTTTCAATTGTCACATATGCACGTACAAGCTGAACAAAGAAGACTGAAGAATTGATGCATTTGAATCGTGGTGTTTGCAAAGAATAGTGAAAGGACCGTGGACTTGCGGAAGAACTGTCTTGGACGAAGGACAACCAGCATGCTCCTTGGAAGTAATGACAGCAAGACTTCTTCTCATGTACTTTGGACATGTTCTCCAGAGGGACCAGTCCCTATGAAGGACATCGTTCTTGGTAAAGAGAAAGGACAGCCAAAAAGATCCTCAATGGGATGGACTGTACAGTAACTGCAGCAATAGGGTTGAACCTAACAACTGGGAGATGGCTCGGTACCGGGCAGTGTTTTGTTCGGTTGTACACTGGGTCATTGTGGGTTTGGAGCTGACTTGAAAGCACCTGGTAACAACAATAAACAACAAGTCCTGTCGGTGTTGCTCTTCCACTTATCCCAACCGTCTCTGCGAGGCTTACAACGGTGTTGGTAAAGATCCCACAAGAGCAAGCCTGTAGCCAAGACCCAAAAAGGAAGTCTGCTTTGGGAATAAACTCTAGCCAAAGAAAGAGGATCAGTGTGTCAGGTCACCGTCCCCTGAGACAGAAATCAGACTGCGAATTCCAATTTTGCCAAGATGTCCTGCCACCTGTGGACATTCTTTAGCCATAAATGCAGACACCTATAGGCACAGTCAGAAATTACTAGGGACACAGAATCTATATAATTTTTGTTGATTCAACATTTTTCAGAAGTCAATCATCCCAGTGTAATGAATGACAAAAATGCAACTGATCATTTGAAACCAAGTGATAAGTTAGAGAAATTAACTGTTAACTTGAAAACTTCTAAAATACATCTTAAAAATGCCAAAAATAAGTAATGAGTAACATCACTCAAGAGGTAATTTTTAAATTGTTCTTAAAAACTTTAAGTATATTCATATATAAATAACTGAAAGCAAGAAATGTAAAAGAAACACATTTTACAAGTGGAAAAGAAAATGGCATTATTCTTTTCATATATTTATGAAATTCTACTAAATTCTACTAGTTCTTGCATTTCTTTTTTTTAATCATTTTATTAGAGGCTCATACAACTCTTATCACAATCCAGACACACATCAATTGTGTAAAGCGCATTTGTACACTCATTGCCCTCATCATTCTCAAAACATTTCCTCTCCACTTAAACCCCCGGCATTAGGTCCTCACTTTTCCCCTCCCTCCCCGCGCCCCCCTCCCTCATGAGCCCTTGATAGTTTATAAATTGTTATTTTGTCATATCTTGCCCTATCCGACGTCTCCCTTCA